TAATAATAATACCAAAATCAGAATTATTTCATTTATTTATAAAAAAAATAAATGTAGCTTTCATTGATTTTTTTTTAAATAAATGAAAGCTATAGATTTATATATTGGAAAAGTATAGCAGAAGTTATATAATTTATTGAGAACGTTTCCGAAAAAACGCTTCTTTCTCATCATTGCTAATTGTAAAAATCCGGGGATATTTTCGCAGATTTTGTTTCAGTGGTGAAAATGAACCCCCCTGAGGAGTATGACCTGAAACCTACGTATACAGCCGATCAGTATATAATACATGCACACAAACCAGGAAGTTTGTGTGCATTATGGAGCGTTCTCTTGCAATTGTGAGGCTTGCAGGGGCCATTGTAGCCTAGTGAATGGTGGTAGTCTCTTGTGGTGCCTGGCGACTTGCGCTCGTCAAGCGGGAGGACAGTCCTAGCGTTACTCCTTTGTTTAAACGGGACTCCCACCACCGCCACACACGATTTTTGTAATTGCTGCTTTGTTATGTTCTCGGAGTGAAGGGACGCAGACAACAGTCTGTTGTATGTTTATTTTCCTCGGTGTGGTTTGAATAGTTGAGGGAGGGAGAGAGAGGGAGAGAGAGGGAGAGAGGGAGGAAGAGAGAGATAATACAAAATTTAAAAGATTACAACCTCTCACTGTCAGAGAGTCCGTATCCAAGAGTGGGCGTCCACAGCGGCAAGGCGCCAGGAAGCTTCGTAAGTGGAAACAGCTGACAACCAATCACTCAATCCAGTATACCTCTCTCTCTCTCTCTCTCTCTCTCTCTCTCTCTCTCTCTCTCTCTCTCTCTCTCTCTCTCTCTCTCTCTCTCTCTCTCTCTCTCTCTCTCTCTCTCTCTCTCTCTCTCTCTCTCTCTCTCTCTCTCTCTCTCTCTCTCTCTCTCTCTCTCTCTCTCTCTCTCTCTCTCTCTCTCTCCTGGCTCATTCATCTATGTCCCATCGTTCCGGCCTTTCCCATGTCAGAGAAAATGGGCTTGCCTGTCTTCTCAATACGCCTCTGAATTTTGTATGCTGTGATCATATCCCCCCCCCCCTCCTCTTGCTCTTCACTCTTACATTGACCCGAGATTCAGCTCATTTTGTGATTCCGCGTAATTCTTGCCCCTCAGCTCCGGGACCAGTCTTGTGACAAACCTCTTTATATTGTCGTGCTTTGTCTTCTGGACTCTTGGAATGGTCTTACGCACTCGGTGATTGGGTTTGATATTCTAATCACTGTCAAAAACAATCTGTAATGTACAATCTCTCTCATACAATCAACAGTCTCGTATATAATAATTCACCAAGTAGTTGTTTGAGACTTGTAAAAGGATTTTTTTTTAAGTATGAAATTACAAAGGTTCCAAAAATTTCATGGGGTAGATTTTCTGAACTCCTCTGAAAATAAATTGTTTCCTTTGAACACCGCCCTGGCAATTACCGGAAGCGTTGGAACTCATAGCCTAGCCTGGCAACACCAATGGTCCGTGCCTCTGTGATTCAGTTTCTATATTTCATTTTCTAGTTCTGTCCAGGTAAACAGAATACAATTCATATGCAATTTCACAACATGCAATTGGACCTTTTTTTTTTTGTTACCTCTGCCCGTTAGGACGACCTATCCAAAGTGCGGATAGTCATCCACCTGTCCCAGGCAGATGGTTCATGGGAATAGTATCTTTTCTCCTACCCCCCTCTCTCTCTCTCTCTCTCTCTCTCTCTCTCTCTCTCTCTCTCTCTCTCTCTCTCTCTCTCTCTCTCTCTCTCTCTCTCTCTCTATATATATATATATATATATATATATATATATATATATATATATATATATATATATATATATATATATATATATATATATATATATATATATATATATATATATATATATATATATATATATATATATATATATATATCCTCTATCAGTCCCCTATCTATCAGTTCCCCCTCTTTGTCACTATCTTCACTATCACTTCGTCTCTTCACCATTCTACTTGAGCTGATTTCTTGTTTTCGTTCACATCTTCTGCAGTGTCGTTGTCCACTTGAGATTCCGTCTTCTGTCTACTTACCAATCTTCCCAATCGTTCTCATTGCTCTCAATACCTTAATTTATCTTAAACTGTTTGAAAGACATGCTAAAAAATTTCCTATACTTGCTTCTCTATTCTAAAGAATGAAGAACGAGAATTTTCGTTATTTATTATTATTATTATTAATTGTGTAGCTTTATATCTTATGAATCCATCCCTGTCTTGTGTGGCAGTGAAAAATAGAAATTTACACTTACAAATTCGTAAACTGAAACATGTATAATGTTGATGAATTAGCATGTAACCTTATGAAATATGTATGAAATATGCTTCAATGTACAATTTAGGCCTGTTGTCTTGTGTATGATCCTATGTACTGTGTGACAGTGAATACGAGCAGCACCTCACTGTAATAAGACCTGACACACTTACTCACATTAGGCCAAATTGTATGTTTTGTCAGTTAAGATGTTGATAAAAACTGTGTGTGTGGTAATCTAGTTGAAGATTTGATTTGTAATTTATTTGGTTATTATTTTCTGATTAACTCTTGTAATTCTGAAATGACTCTTACCTTCCAGCAGGTCCATAGATCTTGACTCTTACCTTCCAGCAGGTCCATAGATCTTGACTCTTACCTTCCAGCAGGTCCATAGATCTTGACTCTTACCTTCCAGCAGGTCCATAGGTCTTGACTCTTAACTTCCAGCAGGTCCATAGATCTTGACTCTTGACTTCCAGTGGAATTTGGAATTCAAATCTTGCCAGCCAGCAGACTTTGGGTTCCATCTCTTGCCAGCCAGGAGACCCCATGTGTTGCAGTCTTCCAGCAGGTCAGAAGGGATCAAATTCATCATCTCTCACTGTGAGAGAGAGTCATCCATTCCTCACTTCCGCCACTAAGAGTCCACATTTGTCTCTCATTGATTCGGCCTCTGTCTTTGTAGTGATATTGGACCTTTTCCAAAGACTTTGAAATAATAACCTCTGACCTTTGATCGTCAAACCGCATTGTGTGACACGGCTTCAATATCTCAAGTGCCATGGCCTCGTTCACACAGACAAGCGCCATGGCCTCGTTAACAGACAAGTGCCACGGCCTCGTTCACACAGACAAGCGCCATGGCCTCGTTAACAGACAAGTGCCACGGCCTCGTTCACACAGACAAGTGCCATGATACTGTTACTTGATACTGACAAATACTGTTAAATTCAAAATAAGTGTCTGTGATGCAAATCTTGATTTTGTCACAGAGTTTATCTATGGGGAGGGGAGGAGGCATCAAATAAATCTTCTTCATGTTTCCCCACTTCTTCCCCTCTTCCAATATACCCCTGTCTCCCCCCCCCCCCTCCTTCTTCTTCTCCACTTCCATCCCTATTCACTCAATCGTCCTCCCTCTTTCTCTCTTAACTTGTCTTAAGAACTCTCTTAAAAAATGTATTATTTGGAAACACTGAAATTGCTGAACAACTTTTATGAGGAACATAGCAAATATTTCAGGCTAGACTTCATGAAAATCGGATTTGAGGGGTTCTCTGTAAACGGCGATATTTCTTAAAGCCTCTCACTTGGGCCGATACCGACTGGCCTTTGGCACACTTTTTCCGAATGTGATTTATATTGAAAGGTTGAGGTGAGGCTGCCCCCCCCCCCCAAGCATCTGACCTCGAACCTTGAACAAATACACATTCTATTTTATAGATATAGGTGTTAAATATAAGAGTTATATATTAAAAGAAGATTATAGATATTTAATATGTTAAAACTTCACAAAGAACTTGAATAGCAATCATATAATAAACTGTTTTGTGCGTTTGGCAGTTGTGTGTCGTATTAATGCCTTGCATAGCCTGAGACGAGGTTTATGTAGGGTGTTGGGAGAGCCTGTGTAGCGAGGCTTGGCAACACAATCTTGAGGTTATCTTGAGATGATTTCGGGGCTTTAGTGTCCCCGCGGCCCGGTCCTAGACCAGGCCTCCACCCCCAGGAAGCAGCCCGTGACAGCTGACTAACTCCCAGGTACCTATTTACTGCTAGGTAACAGGGGCATTCAGGGTGAAAGAAACTTTGCCCATTTGTTTCTGCCTCGTGCTGGAATCGAACCCGCGCCACAGAATTACGAGTCCTGCGCGCTATCCACCAGGCTACGAGGCTCGTAGGACAACACAAGACTGGTGACACAACCTGCCTCCAGGAGTCATCTGTGATGGTGTCAACACACACATCGTGTGTTGGTCTCGTCTTGTAACCTTCTGGCAATTGTGTTACTATATAGGGTATTGTTTTGCCTCACCTCGCACTGCTCTACCTCCTCTGGTACTACGCTACCAACCTTGGTACTGCACTACCTGCCCTGTTTTATCCGTTAGGCCAGATTCTCGAAGCTGTTACGCAAGTACTTACGAACGTGTACATCTTTCCTCAATCTTTGTCACCTTTGTTTACCTTTATTAAACAGTTTACAAGCTTGAAAACTTCCCAATCAACTGTTGTTGTTATAAACAGCCTCCTGGTGCTTCGGAGCTCATTGACTGTTTACTGATTGTAAACAAAGTCGCCAAAGATTGAGAAAAGATGTACAGGCTCGTAAGTGCTTGCGTAACTGCTTCGTGAAGTGCCCAGTCTTTCAGCAGAAGGGGTTACTTAAGTAAGGTATCACTGGGTCATCTCCGTCCTCGGAGCGTGAGTGATTGGTAATGTCTCAGATTAGAGCTCCGGAGTATCAAAAATAAGATAAAAAAGATTTGCACTTTTAACAGCTGATGAGTTTTTCGACAAATAAAATTTGGACTCGACATTTTTTGTTTCTTTGTGTCGTTCTCAATGTTGAATGTGCTGTTCTTGTTGTCTCAAATGTGAATATCGAATAATTAATACAATTATTTACGGCATAGACGGCTATCAATATTACTCAATTGTTAAATTATTTACAATTAAGATTTTTGTTTGTTGATTTTACAGTTGAAGGCGTATGTTTGAGGAGCTTCTGGGCGCTGCATGTGGCAACACCGTGACTGAGGGGTGAGTGTTGCCGTCTCGGGGCGTCCAATTATCCCTTATAGGTATTTCTTCTAAGCATTGTACCGACTTGGTATTAATTGCACCAATTATAGTTCTGGAACAGTTTACAGCCGTCATGCGTTCATGTCAAATTATTTTCTTTACTTCTTTATATAGCAGTCCGCCCTTGACTCAAGTCCATTACATCCAGCGGTCGACCCCACACGAGCCTTGACAAAGTAGCCTTCAGGAGCCTTGACAAAGTAGCCTTCAGGAGCCTTGAGAAAGTAACCTTCAAGAATCTGGACAATGCTAGACAAATGTCTGGTATAAGACTAAGGGCTGAGCGACGAGCAAAGACTGACGGAACTAGATTTCACCAAGCTTGAAAATGGAAACGTAAGAGTACACTTCATTATGAGAACAAACGTTTTTTATAAACCTTGATAAAGGGAACACTAACATAATGTTTAACACCAACAGGAACGACGGCATGGTAACGATACTCAGATGATCCAAAAGGCATGAACCGAAGGCATGAGCCATCAGAGTAGATAAGTGAGAAGCGTGAAATGGGCTGAAAGTGGAGGAACAGTAGTTGAGACTAAGGCCATGTACAGTTTCAGGAGTTAACAAGCAAAAAGAATCGGGATAAATTACATTAAGGTTACTTGCACACACACACACACACACACACACACACACACACACACACACACACACACACACACACACACACACACACACACACACACACACACACACACATACGCTCGTCTGCCTGTGTGTGGCAGGTGTGTGGTGGGGGAGGGGGGACTCCTCCCACTCCTGTCACACACCCTCCTTACTAATTAACATCCAAACATCCCTACCATTCTCCTCTACACCACAACCTCCTTTACATCACCTTCACCACCGCTGCTACCACCCTACCACCACCAATACTACAACTACCACCCAGAAGCGGTCAAACAAGTGGTTGCTGGAATTCATTCCCAACAAATGTAAGGTTATCAAGATATGAAAGGGAGAAAGAGAAGACCAGAACAAGCGTCTACTCCATAAGGGGAAGACAATTACAGGTATCAGAAAGGAAAAGATTTGGGAGTGGATATAGTTCCCAAACTAACAACAGAGGCAAACATAAACAAGATAACATCGGCAGCATTTGGAACGCTGGCAAATATAAAAACATCATTTAGAAACCTAAATCAGGACTCCTTCAAGGCCATCTACACAACATTTGTTAGACCAATACTGGAATATGCCGCACCGGCATGGACTCCGCACGTTGTGAAGCATAAAGCCAAAATTGAAAAGTACAGAAGTTTGCAACAAGATTGGTGCCAGAACTAAGAGGCTAAAACTACAAGAATACGCTAGTAAAAATATATCTCACAATCCTAGACGACAGAAAGAACAGAGGAGCATCGCAACAAAAGAGAAATCACATACAAGAGCAGAACAGATCACAACATACAAGACAAGGTGAACAAAGACAGAAGACGCTGTCTCTTCACGGGATGCTTAATAGCTTGGCGCTTTCCCCTGATTATTATTATTGTTCACGGGAGGCTCAGCTGTTACCGAGACTTCACACATGTGTCCGGATATCATGGATCCGACTTGCGAGGTGGCTGACCCCATAGGATTGAATCAGATAGTCATAGGTGTGTATAAAAGACATCTGCGTCTCACTTTCCTGTAATGTATGTCCAAATAACATGTTATTTGTAAGTTATTACACGCAGGTGGTGCCTGCACGACTTATATCTGTCGGCTTATATATAATCCATAATCCACGGCTTATATATTGGTAAATGATGGTCAGTCACTTGCAGCAATATCCTAGTTTATACATTAACTATAGAACTAGAAACGTCCAAATATTTATCCTAGCATATATTAATTAACTTTTAATAACTATTTATTTAAATTTTTATTTAAGTTAAACTATTTAACAACCACCCCAGCTGTTGAAATTAAAATTGTTTACATAAGTAGCTAAGAACTAACAACGGGATCCCATCTTATGCTAATCTACAAACTATCCTATTACACAAGACTGGCCGGGTAAGGTCAGTACCTTATTACTGAGATTATAGAAAGTGGCAGTTTATTATTGCTGGCGGAAATCAAGGTTACAGGTCAGGGTCGCATTGTTGCCAAGCGCTGGGTAGTGAGACTTGTTGTTATTGATTTAGTGGCGACGACAATCGTTGGATGGGATGCGCCCCAGCGTACTCTTGAAGGGATAATCGCGAAGCCTAATGGTGAAATGAGTGTCGCTTATCAGCGGAAACTAATATGCCTTTCAGCAAATAAACACATACAGACGGGTAGATGATTGGGAAGTCCCAGGAGTTCCTCAGGGTGACAAGCACCGGCTCCGCCTCACACAGATAACACCAGGTAGCAAAACCAAAACCTCGGCCCCCAACTAAAACACAAAAAGTCATCCAGTGCTCCTCCGCAGAGCAGAAGCCAGCCGCCCACCACGGCTGATGGCACACCAGGAGCCACCAAGACCAACCAACTCCCGGCACCTCTTGGCCAAGCCGGCACCGGACACCATCACCCCGCCCGAAGAATCAGCCAGAAAACGTTAAAAATCTATCAACTATCCTGTGACTCAAGGTGATATGTGCGCCAGGCGTCGTAACAATCCGGACCGTTCTATAGGAATGCCAAACGGCACTATTAAAATCCAAAATCGCGAAACTGAACGCGATCCGCCGACCCTCAGATGGAGCAGGTGGCCAGACGTCCGCTAATCATCGAGGTTGAACCATGAGTCAGTAGTGAGACTGCCTGCCTCGTGGCGCCTGTGTTTACGTCGCTTAAATCCCGAGGTGACCAGAGCGTCTGCTGGTTTTATAGAAGATGTACATGCTTCCCGAATACTTTAAATCAACGTTTTGTTGTTTATTTTCTCAGTAAATGATGTATATTTACGAGGCATTAAGTTCTTAATATCATGTTACATTGAATTAGCAAAAAAAGACATTTGTGGATTATCATATGGTTAGCAAGAAGAGAATTTCGTGCTTTTGGAAGTTAATTCTAATGATTTCCTAAATGATTTTGGCCTTAAATATACTAGAAACACTTTCTGATGTTCTTTAATTATAATGTTTGAAGAAAATGTATTAAGAATGTATACTAACGAGGTTTTGAGAACTCGTACCTCTGGCATATTAAACGAGAGTTAAAACTATTGACGTCACAAAAACATAATTTGTTTCCGGAATGTTCTCGAAGCTGAAGGCTGACTTAATATCTTTGTCTTTTTCGTCAGTAACATTTAAATGATTTACATTTATTATTTTTTTTATATAATTTTAGAAAAGAGGAATTTATTCGAGCACGGCCATCGTGAGAGAATATGAGGCGGAGTGACGCTGTAATTAACACAGTGACAGCGTCGCTCGGGGGAGTCTGCCACATCTCTCCCTTACACACGTATTATTATGTGTCGCATAATTAACCTGCTTATCTCCCTAATCACACATAATGTAACGTTATTGTTGCTGCGCAACAGCAATAATATATATATATATATATATATATATATATATATATATATATATATATATATATATATATATATATATATATATATATATATATATATATATATATATGTATATATATATACGTAGATGTGTGTGTCTGTGTACATTGTTGGCAGAGTTGCGAAATAAACCGAATTAGATAAGTTTTTTCTTTGGTATTGATAGATACTCTCACTTCAACACTTATATATTGTTTGTATGTGTTGAGCCAAAACTGATTTAACAATCCAACTTAACCTAAATGATGCCTTTCATTAGCCTGCTAGTCGTCTCCAGACACAACAGCATCCCAGTTGCCACTCGCCTGGTGATCTGTCACTGCGTTTCGAAAAGGGCTTATTTTTAATAGGTAATATTTCGGTTTCTCGTCGGTCTTTCCTTCTAATTGGGATCGTGTTCACGTTGTAATTGGCAGTATGTGTTGGCACCCGGCGTGGAGCTGAGCCTATGTTATGTTGCTGCCTGGATGATATTAAGGAGCAGCGCTGATGGAAGAGGATGATCAGAGTAGGTCAGACAGACAGACAGACAGACAGATGGGTGTCATCCAACATTCTTGGTTAATTTTTAAACCTTGTGTATTATATTTTTACAAGACACACTGGCACTTGCACATGACGAGGCCATAAGACAGGGGAGCTGTCAGGAAACATGTGGCATCTTGTGTAGTATTCTGGAGTTTATTACCTGAATTTACCCGAGAGCCACTATCTCTCTAGTGTCCTCGAGGGATTTTGAAATTCAGCAGTGTTTTGGCATTTACGGTTTCGGCGGGTAGGCGGTTCCAATGGTTTATAACCTTTTGCGTGAAAAATTCTCCTCTTTTCTGTCCAGCATTGCGGCTTGTTGAGTTTGAGACCATTGTTCCTTGTTTGTGTTACATCTGACCTTTCGAAAAAGTGGTGTGAATCAATATCCTCCAAATAGTTCAGTATTTTAAAAGTTTCGATGAGATCAGCACTGTCTTGTTACTGTAACTCCCAATTGTTTTCCAACTTTCAGTGATTGGTGGATTCTGACGCCAAGGTTCTTTTCTTTGTCAATCTGCTGCAAGATAATGTTGTTGGTTTGGTAGTTGTGATGTGCATTGTTGTACCCCACTTGCAAGGTCTTGCATTTTCGACATTGAAAAGCATTTGCCAGTCTTCCGACCACTTATGGAGTTCATGTAACGCTTTGTATTGAATCAATCTTCACTTCACACTTTACCAAGAATCTTAGTGCCATTTGCAAATCTGATGATGAGGTTTGTAATATTTCATCTATGTCGAAATGGCAAAAAATATGGTTGGCAAAATGACAAAAAAGGATGGCCCCAAAATGGACCCTTGCAGTACCCCCACTCAAGACATTTTTCTAGTTAGGTTTATTTCCGTCCATGAAGAACCTTTGCTCTCTTTGTTTTAATAATTGTTTTATCCAGTCTGGTATTCTACCAGTTATTCC